TTCAATGTATATATCCCTAAAATTAAGATGATGTAAATTTCTCTATTATCAATTCTCTACTTTCCTCGTGGCATTTTCAGGCATCAAAATTTCGGTTAAACGGGTAATGGGCATAAATGAGTTAAGGCGGTTCCGCGTTTTCAATTAGGTATTCATCGACGGCTGAGAGGCATCCGGCTGTGGCAACTAGACCCCCCGTATATGGGCGCGGCAAATGGCCCGCGCTCGAGGGCGCGGCCGGTAACAGCGCGTGCCGATTCGCACCGTCCCATTGCCAGAGCTTTCTGCCAGGCGAACAGTCGCATTCTGAACTTGCGTTCGCCTGTTCCTTCAATGCCTTCGTAGATTATCATTCCCGAAATTCTAATGAAGCATTTTGAAGCCATATCAAACAGTAAAGAGAAAGTTTTAGTTACGGTTGGTTTTTAAATGTAATAATTTTAATTCAGTACCTGATAAAATATTATGCAAAAATTAAATGCTTGAACATTGTTATGAACATCCTTCCATGCGAGTAAAAATAAGCTATATTTACCTTTCTTATTAGTTTGTAATTCTTTAAAATCATTTAAATTTGTTTGATGTACGTTTTGCAATAAAGCAGAATTCCCCGAATAGAAAGCTCTTTACACTTGATTGAATGAAGTTACAAATGTTCAGAGGATTATTTCTTCGGTGTATTTAATTTAAGTTATACACGAATACTTGAAATAAGTATGAATTTTGAAAAAGTTCAAATTACAAAATTGTAATCGGTGCCTGAACAATTTCGCAATATCTCACATTCAAATGTTTGACTTAATAACACGTTAGCTGAACGCAAACACCAAAGTTCGCATATTCATGCATATATTTATTCACAAAAGCATTTATATGAAAATGCGTATATGCTATCATCTATGGGTAAACAATGAATTTCTTACTTTTCGTTTAATACATTTTTTCTAACGAATAATTGTATTTTTTTGTATTTCATACACCGATATGTGTATGATTTCCATGATGGGGTTGTTGACTTCATTGCGATCGTACTCTCTGCGATGTTGTATGTGACAATGTTCCACCGATGAAGGTCGTGTGGGCGGAGCGCCTCGGTCAAGAACAAGCGAAATGCTATCCCAGGGCATCAGATGTTTTTTATCATATATTTTACTATACACCACAAATCTTGATATTATCAAAAATTATGGGACCTATTCTACCGTTAATTAAAACAATGGTATAGCGAGGCTTTATTACGTAGCGCTTCTCATATAAAATGATACTAAATACTATCAAAATACCATTGCAAAAAATGCAACTTCACTCACCACATCACAAAGATGCAGTTATGATAACATTGTTTTTTTTTTGACATTTGTGCGTTTCCTAGGTTAGGTTTTCTATCGAAGACGCCTGACTGGCCAGCAACCACATGACATTTTGATAGTATTTAGCTGCTAAATTTTAGCACCTTTTTGTATGAGAAGCGCTACGTAATATAGCCTTGCCATAACATTAGTCCAAGTCAAAACCTCAATTTTATTTAAAACGCAAAAAATTAATTAATAGTTCATAACTATTTTGTATTTCTTACTAGCAGATGTCCATGAATAAAAAGCACTGCATTAAATTATTCTACTAAAACAAACATATAACTACGGTTTTTTTTCAATTTCAAAACCGAAATGATAACTTTTAAGTAGTTATGCAAATCTGAAGTTGTAAAAATCAGTCTATTTTTTATCTAGATCGTTTAATTGGAATTAGTAAGAATGAACGCAAAACTTTCCATATATTTTTATGTTTTTTTTTCGCTTTTAAGGCTTGTATAAAGTTATGAACAATTCTCTTTATGTTGCAAGTCGAGTCTTGTTGTCTAAAGCACTTGTGCCAAGCAGTCAGAAAGTACTTTTGCATAGTTTTTTTGCACTTACGTTAATTTGAAAATGGTATTTCGAAATTATTCAAGTGAGAGGCAAATTTAACCCACTTTTATATTTAATTTACTCAACCGTAATGTCTCATATAAGCATACTCGTCAAATATATCATGTTCAGATATTTGATTGGCTGTGATAATTTTAAAATCAAGTAATCGTGAAGATTCATTTTCAGTCAATACTTTTCAACAATTCGGAACTATCGGGTACAAAAAACTTGAAACCGGTACAAATTTTGTTTCTAGGAAAAAGCTTAATCCGGGACTATCCCGGACAAACAGGGACGTATGGTCACTTAACGTAACCTATCATTCACTTGATGGTTAATTTTTACTTTAGGCCAATTCAAATAATATAACCATATTTTAATGTGATAGATACATATGTATCAAATTATTTATAGGTAGTTATACCAATTATTTGTTAAAACGTCGAACAATTAATTGTCATAATTCATCGCTGCCATTTTGTATTAGTTAATACGTTCTCATTTGTTTGATTAGCAGTTGAAAGAAAATACTCTCTAAAAAATAGATAATAGCACCGATCTCTTATCATTTGATCCTAAGTAACTTCCCGTAGGGTAAGTTGTGGTAATTAAAAAAATCAAAAACAAAAATGTTTATATATCTGTAAGTTTGAAAGTCTTCTGAACATTTTAAGGAAATATGTTTGTGTGTGTTCGTATGTGTGTGCAAATACAATTTTACATCGACAATTTCGAACATTCTGTTCCTATTGACGGGAAGAAATACCGGGCAAAAAATGCCAAAAATGGTAATTAAGTTTGTGAGAGAACAGAGCGTCTGATTTGAATGATTTAAAAAACATTTTACTTGTAATGACAAAATAAACAACTGGTAAAATCTTGGGCACGTCTAGCGGTTTCGGAAATACAATAAAAAAAGTAAAAAGGGGCTATCTGACGGTCAAAAATGATTATTAGACATATGAACATCAAATTATCAGATATTTTATAGAGATTTCAATAATAAGTACACATTTTGTTTGCATATCTATGGGTTCCGTACCGAGATTTATTTTGTTAGAGTATGGCGCGGCGGCGCTCACGAGCTTCAATTTTTCGTCTCTAAAACGGCAATGAGGCGCGTTTTCCTTGAAAATTTTTTTTTTTCAAAATTTTCACAAAAAAACATCATTTATTGGTAAAAGTCCAATTTTAGCAAAAATTGTAAAGCTATTAAAAACTTTAAATCATGATACGGAAAATTCCAGCAATTAGCCTTAAGGCGCAATGCCATGCACCACTAATTCTAAATATAATAGTCAATTACGTCACATAGACCAGCAGCATAACCGAAATGTACGTACGCGGCTAAGCTAAAAATCAGAATTGTAGCTGCTCCCCGGGCTCAACCGAGTAGAGGCGGCGAACGTTCGTTGTGCCTAACACCGCGCCACGTCGAACAGTATTCCTGGATCGAAATATAAACTACTTTGCGAAACGGTCACTACTCCGAGATGCAAACTCGGAGCCCCGAGGGCGTAGGCGTCCGGCAGTTCGATGAAACTCACCGTATGCGGGCGTTCCCGCGGCCTGCACATAGTCGGCTGGATGCGTACCCAGGCGTATCAGGCGAACAGACGCAAATTCAGCATATAGTTTATACTTTATATATACCTTGTAGAGATCGCGTAGTAGATTTCGTTAGATTTGGAGAATGAAGATCTACATCTGAAGCAAATTTTGCTATTACAATTTTAATCGCAATCTTTATAAAATATTAAACCTCCGTCGGTCGGATATTTATTCACCTTCGAACGGTTGGAGTGGTCTGGCTGGACCACCATTCATTTTACATACATTTATATAGGGTAAATGAGTTTTTGGTGTCTTATATATTAACGATTACTACTAATAAATATTTATAGTTTAGATTTTTTCTTTTTTTTACCGTCTTTTGCATGTGTTGAGCTTGCTTATAATAAAAAAATATATATTTTATATTATATTATATAAAGAAAATCAAAGAATATAAAAAAATGTTGCTTCTTTATTATTTTTATTTTTCTGTTTTATATCAATGAAAAATAATATTTATTCTTTTTCGGCTCCTTCGAAATAAATGTGAAATTCAAATGAAAATTAAATGAGGTGCGTCGCTTTTGAAATGAGCTGTAAAATTTAAGTTGAAAATATAATTTTACTACAGGTTTACAAAAAATTTTTCGAACGCAGTACGGCTAGAAAAATTGTTAATAATGTGCGCATTACTCATCCGATTTTCAATGTTTGCGATGACCAATAAGTTTAAAGTTTGGTAGGTTTTCAAGGAATTCTCGTCGTGAAAATACTAACATTCATGTTACAACACATAGCAAAGAATATATAAAATGCAGTTAGAATAGAAAATACCAGAAAAAAGACAAAATACAGGTTTACATATATCAAAAACCGTATATTTCATACAAAATGTATGGGTGGTCTAGACAGACCACTCCGACCGTTCGAAGTATAAAAATGTTAATATCCTTATAATTATCCTTCTGTTCATTTTTTCGTCCTGATTTTTTTATTGATCGACAGCTAATGAAATTTTAGGAAAAGTCAAGAAATTTCAAGTCGATAGGATTACTAGAAGTATTTTTTTTTAATTGAAGTCGAAAAAAGTCTGGCCAGACCACGCCGACCGACGGAGGTTAATTGTGTAGTTATGTCTTTTATAAAATGTTTAAGATAAATAAGAAATTTGAGTTCGAGAAAAATGTGAAGCAATTCTTTTTTATTGCAGTTTCAATTATAATTTACTAATAGAAGTTTCTTCGACCATTGTTATTTGTTATCATTATCAATTAAAAATCATTGAACGACGTAAATGATGTAAAAATCATTGAACTTCGTAAAACGTCTTAAAGTAACGGATGTGACGTAAATTGCTCATTGATTGTAAGTTTCTAATGCTTATATTGCTCTTTTGTGTATTTATATTGAGAAGAAAACAATTTTATTTATTTATATTTGTTTAGAGGTACTATTTATTGTTAATCATATATGAAATATTAAATATGATGTAACAAAAAAATAGTGATATTAAATTAGTTTATATATTTCACTTACTTTTGGTTATGTCACATTACAGTTGCACATGCCGCGGTAGACAGCCATTTTACTGATGTGTTTTACAGAGTGTTGAGATGATCAGGCGAACAGGCGCCACCTGAGCATACAGTCTTCTAGTATAGTGTAATTGAATGTCATCTGCCTGCAAGATTTTAAAATTGATAATAAAATAAAGGTTAATCATAAAATCAAACGTAGAATTTCATGCAGAGGAAACATAAATTATTAAAATTATATAAAGATAAAATAATAATTGACTGAGCTACACCTCAATAAAATATCCGTTTGCATTGATGTCTTGATCTCCATTAAACACGTGAAAATTATATATATATTTGTACAAAATGTATTTACTGAAAATATCTTGAAGGGTTTTCTGAATATATTTATTTTAATAATTAGTAATGTCTGTAAGACGTAAACTATTCTTACTTATACTAACTTTGGAATAGTATTGAATCAATCAAAACCAAATCATATTGAATAATACATGCCGCTTATAAAATCATACTTTTACATTTTTAAAAAATCAGGTGAAACGTAAATTCTGTATAAATATTCTTTAACATTAACCTAGCCTATTCTACAACAGCTAAAAGTACAATTTCCAAGATACATTATTAGTAATTGATTGATTTACAATAGTTGTATGTTACATGTGATATTTTTAATTGTTAACCTACCTTGCGGCATTAATACAATTTATTATGAGAATTTTATATATGTACATAGGTCTATTTGCTTAAATTGATGCATTTCATTGGGTTAGTACGAAAATAGCTTAAAAAACCATACTTTATTATTATTAGTGAGAGTAATATTGAAATACATAGAGTGTTGCTGAATTTTATGAAGGATTGTAATATAAAATTGTAGAGATTTACGGAAATCAAGTTAATGATGATAAGTTATTATTATTATTTTTTCTTCAGTTTTGTTATTATTATTATTATTTTTTGTATATTCATACAGAAGTAATATTTTGTAATGTATATTTTTATAGTAGGTAATATGTATTCAATTGATATTGTCTGTATAGAACGAGGCCATTTTAATAAAATAAAATAAAATAGAAAAAACTTAGCCTATTAAATCGCTAATTGTTCTATACCAAATAATAAAAAGAAATAAACAGTTATTTAATTATTTGCGCTAATTAAATTACGATAGCGACGTATTTAGATAGACAGTTCGATATGAACACAAAATACACCCATTCCAATAATAAATGTGCCTGATCGCCTGGTAGTCGTGATCCCCGTAAAACATCAGTGAAACAACCTGGCTGTACAACGAAGATCTCCAAGCATCTCCACAAAATGAAGGCTTTTTGATTTACATTTTTTCGTTTCTTTATAAAATAAAACAATAAGCAAATTATTATTATCAAAAATATTCATTAAAGTAAATGGAATAGAAATATAAATATATTCATGCTTTGTGTGTATATGAATATATATTGTAAGCATTTAAATCGTATGCCAATACTGATAGATGGATGTGATAAAAGAATTATATTAAAGAATAAGATTTAAAAACAATTGTTATTCTTTGAAAATATTATGTTTGGAAATTATAACTTGTACATTTACATTGTTATCCATTTTGAAGTTCTTTCAAAGGAATCCTTCGGAGTATAAGAACAAAATATAAAACTAGTAATAAACTATATAGATATGAAATAAATTAATCAATCACTTAAGATTATTCGAGAAAGTGAATAAAGTAATTCTGATCATTCCAGAGAGAATCAATGAGCAGCGTGTGTCAAAATGTCAGCCAATGCCGTACCAGGCGAACAGTGGTAACTAAAATAAGCAATGATTGTTAATACGCGGCACTTGAATATTCAAATTAATTTTCAGCACAGTTTATTATATAAAGACTTGGATTTTTTGCTTATTTAGAAAATTACGTTTTTGATTATTTAGAAAACGATTGTTGAGAGACAATACATATGAGTCAATTATGAAGGAATATCAAAATAAAAGAAAAGGAAGAACGTACTTTTTCATCAGGTCTTTTATTTATAAATCGATTAGATAATTAATTTTTCAAGCGACAAAATTATTTTTGGTACCTTAAAACCTACTTTTTGATATAAAATATAGAAATAAGTAATAATATAAAGAAAATCGTATATGTATTTCAAATATATATGTGCTCACAAATATAATAAATACAAGAAGTTACAATTGATTGTAAAAATGTTTTTGACAATTAATGGTTATTCGACAAACATGTTTGTATATTGACTTTAGCAATGCTATTATCTTATTTTTCTTGTTATACTTTGCTGATTCGAATACTTTACGTTTTGAAAATAAATCTATTTTTTTCTATACATTTACATATAGAAATAAACTTTTTTACGTTTTACATGGTATTCGGTTTACATGTTTTATTAAACTAAATTTATCAATTTCACATTTACATAAAATTATAAACACTAAACTATAACTCGCTTATAACTACAATAACACATTCATTGTTTTAGTGTCAACATACAACACTACAAAATGTATGTTGCATTAAGAATTCTTAGTAGTAGTCCATGTGTATGATGGAAACATGTAGATGAGATGGAAACTCCCCGTTTTATGATCAAAACTAAATTTTATGTGTGTATAAGCTAGTTTGTTTAAAATACAAATACAAAGAGCGTCATTGTTTTTAAACTTTGTTTTAATTAGTGTTAATATATAATCGATAGCGTAAGTTTATTCAAGGTGAGCAGATAACAGAAATATTTTTTATTATTGAAATAAATTAATATTCTTATAATTTATCGAATGTGTTTGATACTCAATATATTAATATTTATTTTTCGTTCAATACATCATATTAAATACTGAAAAAAGGGCTTTTTTAGTAATTTTTGTTTAGCACGGGTTTTCCATGCAATAGTAAATTTTTAGAGATACACGTTTTTTTTATGGAACCTATCTTCCCTGTAAAGCGAGAAATAGATGTACTTTTTAGTTTATCATATTACAGATTATTTTATAACATTATATCTAGATTTTTATCTAAAATAATAAAAAATAATAATAATTAACTTCCCGTAGGGCAAGTTATAGTAATCGCAAAAAAATCGAAAATGAAAATTTTTATATATCTTTACGTTTCAAAGGTTTCTGAACATTTTGGCATACCTTAGAAAAAATGGATGTATGTGTGTGTGTGTGTGTGTGTGTGTATGTATGTATGTATGTATGTATGTATGTATGTATGTATGTATGTACCTTTGTGTATGTATGTGCGGATACAAATTTTCGTCGACGATTTCGGGAACACGGATCAACCGATTTGAATAATTCAAAAAACATTCGATTTGTATTGATAAGGAGACGTGCTGATTAGTTTTTGGTGAAGGCAGGTCTAGCCGTTCCGAAGATACGGGGCAAAAAGTGCCAAAAACGGTACCGCCGTTTTTAAGAGAACGGAGCGTCCGATTTGAATAATTCAAAAAACAATATACTTGTATTGACAAGATGTAGAATTGATCAAATTTTCATGAAGGCAGGTCTAGCGGTTTTGGAGATCTAAGGAAAAAAGTAAAAAACTAGCTGTAAGTGGAATTCTGTCTTAAGGCAATTAGGGCATCGTGCCTTAAGGCAAATTGCTGGAACTTCCCGTACCAAAAATTATTATTTTTTTTAAAAACGATTAACATTTTTGAAAAAAAATTAATTAAAAAAAAATAAGATTCTGAGAAACTATAAATTTGACAAAAATTACTTTTTTTGAAAAAAAAAATTTATATGAAAAAAAAATTTTTTTTTGAAAAAAAATTTTTTTTGGATACAAAAAATTTTTTTGAAAAAAATGTTTTCTTCATTTTGACATATTTGGAAATTCTGAACTTTTTTCAAAGCAATCGCACTGCTTGAACTGCATAGAGACGAAATGTCAAAGCGCGCATGTGCCGCGCCGCCGTCTAACGCATAAGCATTGGTACGGAACCCATAAAAATGTAAAAAAAAATATTTTATTGTTAAAATCTCTATAAAATATCTGATAATTTGATGTGCATATGTCTAATGATAATTTTAAACGCCGAATGGCATTATTTTTACTTTTTTCATTAGATCTCCGAAACCGCTAACCTGCCTCCATGAAAATTTGATCAATGCTACATCTTGTCAATACAAGTAAAATGTTTTTGAATATTCAAATCGGACGCTCCGTTCCTTAAAAAACGGAGGTACCGTTCTTGGCATTTTTGCCCCGTATCTTCGGAACGGCTAGACCTGCCTTTGCCAAAAACTAATCAGCACGTTCTTATCAATACGAATCGAATGTTTTTGAATTATTCAAATCGGTGATCCGTGTTCCCAAAATCGTCGACGAAAATTTGTATCCGCACATACATACACACACATACATACATACATACATACATACACACACACACACACACACACACACACACATACATCCATTTTTTTAAGGTATGCCAAAAGTTCAGAAGGTTTTGAAACGTCGAGAATGCAAAAATTTTCATTTTCGATTTTTGCGATTACTATAACTTTACCCTACGGGAGGTAAAAAATGCCATTGGGCGGTTAAAAATGATCATTAGACACATGCACATCAAATTATCAGATATTTATAGAGATTTTAACAATAAGTATAATTTTTTGGGTTCCGTATCAATGCTTATGCGTAGACGGCGGGCGCGGGCACTTGCGAGCTTTGACATTTCGTCTCTATGCAGTTCAAGCAGTGCGATTGCTTTGATAAAAGTTCAAAATTTCCAAAATATGTCAAAATGAAGAAAACATTTTTTTAGAAAAAAATTTTTTGTTTTAAAAAAAAATTTTTTTTACTCAAAAAAAAAATTTTTTTTTTAAATAAAAAATTTTTTTTTCAAAAAAAGTAATTTTTTGTCAATTTTATAGTTTTTCAAAAATCTATTTTTTTTAAGTAAATTTTTTTCAAAAATGTTAATCGTTTTTGAAAAAATAATAATTTTTGGTACGGGAAGTTCCAGCAATTTGCCTTAAGGCACGATGCCCTAATTGCCTTAAGACAGAATTTCACTTACAGCTAGTTTTCTGACACCTTTGATAATATATCTATTCAAAATGTGTAAACCAAAGAAATTATTTTGTGATATGTGCCAGTGCCAGTGCCGGT